TTTAGTATTTAAACGATCTCTTTATTTGTCATATATGAACCCCATTTTTTAAAATAAAATATAAAATAATTTTAAAGAATATGAAAAAAATGTATATTTGGTCATATAAAATGAGAGGTTGAATAAATTATAATGTTTGAGGAAAAAAAGGACGGTTGTGGGAAGAGAAATGATGTTTGTGTTTGATGTCCGAACCGGAAAACAACCCTTTTTCTGACCAAATGGTGTTGGCAAACTATGCAAGTCAATGTCTTTTTTAATCTTATTTTGGGTCCCACCCCATCACTTTGCACCAAACATTTCAAAATATTGATTCCAACTAGGTCCACTGACTCTCTTTTTTATTCACAACTCAAATAATGAAATGGAAAAAAAATTATAAATAAGGACTATTAAGTTTTATTTTATAAAATAATTTTTAAAATGAATTAATTAAGATGCGTGAATTATCATATGTATTTATAATGATATATATAAAAATTCGATGTCTTCTCAATCTTCAGTGTAAAAATAATAATATGGTTGTTGGTGTCATTGAATTGGTCGATGATGAACTTACTTCAGTCGTTGTTGGAGCAAAGGTGTGAGAGCTAAAGGGCACCATTGATGGAGCTTGGGAAGATGAATAAGACAAGCAAGACAGCTAATGCAGGAAGAAGATGTGTCTTCCGTGCATCTTCTCAAGAGATCCACGAAACTTCGGACACATATTATAACATTAATCCTATTTGAAAAATAAAATTTGAACCGATATGTATGAACAAATTCGTCCTCCATCGTATTTTCCCAATAAATTTACCTTTTTTGTTATTTAACATTGATTTTTATTATATGATAAAAATCTAAATTTAATTTCAAAATATTTTTGTATAAAGATTAAATCTATAAAATATATAAATTAATAACGTAATGATTTAGTTAACTTAGAAAATCATTTAGAAATTTACAAGGCATGTGTGGGGATGGGGCCAGGCCAGCCGACCAGGGAGAAGGAGCTTAATTATATCACAAAGATGGAAGTCGACTGAACTTTCCATACGAACTTCACTTAAAAGCAACGAGTGGTGGCGGCAATAAAAGATCAATCCTTTTCCTTCTATTATCTTGAGAAGAAAAAGGAGATTTGTTGAGGGGTATAACATTTGTTTGCGGACGATGGAGTCGGCTTTATTATCGCATATATATTCTGATTATTTTAAAATAAATTCTTAATCAGTTATATATTCACCATCTCCCCTATTTAACCCTAAAATATAAAGTAAAGAAACGACAAAGTGATCTTCTTTTTAAGGGATGTGAATGTGATATAGTTGGACCATGATTTGAATAAATAAAGAAACCATCTTAGATTAAAAGGAATCGATGCTGGTAGGGTCCTGCCCTGTGGGCTGTGGCTGGAACTGGGATTCATACTTTACTATTTCCTTAATCTTCTACTTGTTGGAAGTTTCTAAGAAATTCCTTATGTAAGAAGCAGCTCCCATTATATTAAGGGGATACTAAATGGTCATTGGGTCAAAAATGTCCTTATGGAGTACACCAAGTATAGAAGTAGGAGCAAATCGAAAACCGATAGTCGAATAGATGCGACGAGGGAATCTTTGATAAGTTTAACGATTGTTTCGTTGGTTTCACGTCGAATGAGAGTAATATAAGTGTCGGCTCGATCTTGGACCCTAAAGAGATGCTTGATGAGGCAATTCTCAGTAAATTGGATTCGAGGCCACAAGATTCTTGGGCCTAATGTTGGACCACAAATTTCCTGAACTCCTTGTTGATGAAAACACGACCAGGACTGCTCGTGTATGTGGTTATTATTTAGTGTCATTAAACCTAAAACACACGGCTTTTTATCCAGGCACGACCGGCAGGAGTCGAGCAGTTGTATTACAAGAACAACAACAGTGTCGATGGGGAATGATCTGTCTCGCTCTTCAAGAAGGAAAATAAATTCACGATCGCAACAACATATAGGCATCGTGAAAGTCGGCTTGGGGTTTAGGCCTGAATGCAAGTCTTGTCCCATATACTTTGGGTTCACCACTCACTAGGCCCAGCTCAAAGATCTCTTTGGCAATTCTCTCTATTTGTTGTAATTTGGGTTACCTTCTGCTTCTAGGCAGGTGGTCTTTGCAATTTATTGTGAACTTCATAATAGTTTTGAAATTAAGTTCGAATTTTTTTTCAAGGACTATAACTCGAATTTAACCATTTCAATCGAGGCGGGTCAAGACCCATCCCTGCCTAAATGTCCATTATTGTAGCATTATCAATATTGACTTTGACTCATTCTCATTACAGGGAGACAAAAAATCTATCTCCTCTGTGTAAGACTGTGACTGAGATAAAATAGTTTGTGAATTATTTGAGTTTAATTCGATTAAAATAAATTGATTTGAGCTTTAACTCAACTTGAGTTTTTAACAATTCGAAGTAAGCTATTTTATACCCGACTCAAAAATTTCATGAGTAACTCAAAAAAATAACATTAAAATTTTAATAATATTAACATTTATATGTTTTTAAAAAAATACAATATAAAACTTTCATTACTCGAGGTTCAAGTTCTAATTTGAGTTCGAGCTCTAGGTTGAGCTTCAATCGATCCAAGTATGAGTTTATTTTGAGTTAAAGTTTTCTTGAGCCCCAGTCGAAATTTATTTTTTTTATTTCGAGTCAAGCTTGAAAAGTTTAAGGTTGCGAGCTTTCGAGTTAAGATTGAAAATTTTAAATTAGTGAGCTTTTCGAGTCGAATCGAGCTCAATAATACTTGAGCTTGACTAAACTAGTTTACAATCCTACAGCTATGCAAAAGTTTCGTTTGAGTCATCTCAATGACAAAGGGAAAGATTGTTCTTCATAAAGGTCCATAGTACAAATAGCTATGTCTAAAAAGTATATGTACATTATTAATAACTAAAAAAATTATAAACAAATATTATTTTCTAACCACTCCAAGCTATTTAAAAAAATCTATCTCCTCTCGACCCCTTGCCATTCTTTCTTATAAAGATATAATAATAATAATAAACAATCTTAAACTTTGAAAATGGTAGTTGGCCGTAGCTATCCAGTTCACCATAAGCCCGTTTGACCTCACCTAAATTGCTGTTGCATCACATTGGCATTCTAAACTCCATGACAACAAAGAAAAGAAGCCAAGTTCATAAATCATTATATACGAAATTATTCCATCAAGAACAGTTTCCTTTCAATCATGACATCAAAATTGATTTAACAAAAGGGCATAGACATGCAGAAGAACATTGGCCCAATACTACCAACAAAATCATTGCAGATTCATCTTCCTTCTTCCTTTTTAATGAAATCCGTACAAAGAATGGATATAGATTTCGATTTTGATTTCGGAGTGGGGGAAGGGTGGCCCACGGCAATAGCCCCTTGGGAAATATCTCAACTCGTATTTACTGCAATGATCAGGGAAACTGGTCTTCCCCCAATCTCAAGAAGACATGCATGTCCCCGTATTTACTACAAATACGTCGATTTTCATTGAAAATGTGTTGGAGACATTTACTTTTGTAAGTTCATGAACCATGTTCTTTAGAATAAGTATTTGTTCAAATAGATGCGACATGAATGCCATGTCCAAATGTCTGCTTTTTCAATTATAACCACTGAGATTTGCAGTGTTGCTTTAAAGTTTAAAGACAAGAGTTGGAGTTAGTAAAGTCCCGTACCATGTTTTCTTGCTTACCCCAGAGATAATGCTCTTAAATCAAATGTGGGTATGTGATTTTAGAAAATATTATTCTCGTGATAATAATTTTTTTTTCATGAATCAAACACCCCGTAAAGGTTAAATTTTAGTGCAAGTTGATTCATGTTCTTTGTGCACGTTACTTTATATTATTTTGTCAAAAACAATTGCTTCTTCGATCACGTATTAGTTTTCTCTTTAAATTTACAGTATGAACAACGATGCACTAAGATTATATTTATAATTTTTATTTGTACTGAAAAGAAGCGTCTAACTGATTTTAGAGGTTAATATTTATTTAGTGATAGGGACCGTCATCTATAATCGTTGTTATGTAGGGGTAACCTATATTTTTTCATGGAAAATGAAAATAAAAAATGATTTATAATTATCTCATAAATATTTAATATATATTTTTATATATATTAAATATTTAGTATGACTCTTGAGAAGACATTCATATTTGTTTATTTTTCTAAATGATTATTCCGAGTTTAATTGATTGTCAAGATGTCAACAAGATCGTTCATTATCTAAAATGAGTGATCTTGTTATGAATAATTAGATTTATTTAAAGATTTTTTTTTCTCAGTTCATGATATCATAATTATTGCCTATTTGTTAATTTTAGGAATTAGTAGTTTGATTAGTGCACTTTAGCTTCTATGAAAGTTCTTCACCCCGGTTTTTGGAAACACACTTGCAACCTATTAACCCTTAGAACTCAATTAATTAACCAATTAAGGAAGAGATCACCTAAAAAGGGTTAATTAGGAACAACAATTTGACACGTGGAGCTAGAAAGGATTTAATTTAAATATGTATATTTGACATTGTAATGTATTATTTTTGAATAAATATAAAAAATACTAAATTGTACTTGTGTGTCTCTGAGATAAATCTAAAATTAAAATTTGAAAATTCAAATAATTATATTTTATAAGTTCTGAAATGTATAGCGATGATATCAAGGAAATTAATTCTAAGGCATTGAACTCGTATTTAATTATAATTATTTTTTATTTATTTATCAATGAAGGGAAGCGTGAGCCGAGCCGATTGAGAAGCCGAACTTGGCGCTTCACTTAACCCGATAAGAACACGTGCGAGGACAGTCCAAACACGTAAGACCCAAGAAAAAGTAAACTCTCAGTAAAACATAGATAAATAAATAAAAAGAAGAAACGACAAATGTGGAAGAACAATCGCAGAAGCAGTGAGTGAAGCACTCACCGCGTACTTAATATATAAGATAACCACCAGCCAAGGCCACAAACCCAACGATCCCATTTCTCCTATTCATATCCTCACTCATTCCTGTTCTTTCAACTCTTTCTCACTCAACTTAGTGCCAGTGCAAAATCCCAGGCCACTGAGATTTGCAGTCAGAGACATTGAGATGCATTATATCACTTTTTGCTAATTGTCGCCATTAATGCTTATCGGCAGACACATAATCCGTCAATTAAATCAAAAGAAAAACTAAATTGTTCAAAGGATTATTTTTTTTCTTTGTTACTTTTGCGCTAACAGAGGAAGCAAACGAGATGGAGCTGAGTAAGGCAACTTTCGAGATCTTCACGAAACTGGAGCAGAAATGGCTATCGCACTGTGAACCTACGAAGAAGACTCGAATCCTCAGCATCGATGGCGGTGGAACGGCCGGCATTGTCGCTGGTTCCGGTCTTATACACCTTGAAGATCAGATCCGCCTCAAAACCGGTGATCCGCATGCTCAAATTGCTGATTTCTTTGATATGATCGCCGGCACTGGCGTTGGTGCTATTCTTGCTGTCATGCTCTCTGCCGATGATGGAACTGGCCATCCACTTTTCACTGCTAGAGAAGCTGTCAAGTTTATCACGCTGAACAACTCCAAGCTCTTTAAAGTTAATAAGCTCGCCGGAGTTCTTAGCAATCGGAAAAAATTATCCGGCAAGAGCATGGATAAGGTGCTGAAGGAAATGTTTAAGAGAGAAGACGGAACGTCTTTGACACTGAAGGACACGTGTAAGTCTCTCCTTGTTCCTTGCTTTGACCTTAACAGTTCCGCGCCCTTCGTTTTCTCTCACGCCGACGCTTCCGAATCACCTAGCTTCAACTTTGAGCTTTGGAAAGTGTGCCGCGCCACGTCAGCCACTCCGAGCCTCTTCAAACCTTTCCGATTGATATCCATCGACGGCAAGACCTCGTGCTCCGCGGTGGACGGAGGTTTAGTCATGAACAACCCCACTGCCGCTGCCGTCACGCACGTGCTCCATAACAAGAGAGATTTCCCTTCCGTTAATGGCGTCGAGGATCTGATGGTCTTGTCATTAGGAAACGGTCCAGCCTGCGGAAGATCAAAGGTCCATAGTAACGATGAATGCTCAACTTCTTCAGTCGTTGACATTGTGCTCGACGGAGTCTCGGAAACGGTGGACCAGATGTTAGGGAACGCTTTCTGTTGGAACCGTAACGACTACGTTCGAATTCAGGTATGCACACGCTTAAGTTTCTTTTCTTGTATTCTCTTCGATTCTGTATTTGCTTCTTAAGAAAATTTTCTTCGGATTTCTCGGTAACCAAACAGATTTCAACTATTTTCTTTTTAAATTTTAATGTTGGATTTAATTGCGATCGTCCACAATTGACGGACTGTAACGTACAGGCAAACGGACTGGGGAACGCAAGTATGGTGGGGCAGAGAATGGAGGAGGTACTGAAGGAAAGAGGAGTGGAGTCGTTACCGTTTGGCGGTAAGAGGTTACTGACGGAGAATAACGGAAATAGAATTGAAGGCTTTGTGCAACGCCTTGTTGCGTCTGGAAAAACCAGCCTTCCTCCCAGTCCCTGCAAGGAAACAGCCGTTAGCTAGTCTTCCCAATCCCCCCCCCCCTTCCTCTTTTAACTCTATTTTATAAGTAGTAATTTGGAACCATCGCAAGTTTTTCGATGAAGAATTATCCTCCTCAAGTTTTACCTTTTGACTTCCCTACTTCAGTAAAAATAGTCTCTGATCATTTGAATTATTCACATCTCTTTTTATTTATAATTTAAAAAACTATAATTATATTTAATTTTATAACTTAACATTCATAGTTGGTGTAATTTATTTTTGTTTCATTTAATTAAAAATATTAAGCATAATAATGAATTTGATTTTGAAATTATTAACCTTTTAAATTGTTTTCTTAAAAAAATCGCATATTATTGAATAATTATGCCTTATAAACGCAAATACGGAAATACCTCATTCATCATATATAATATTATATGAGGCTTTTTAGTCTAGATTTTATAATCATAATAATTAACTCTAATTATACTAATTTACTAATTGTAATTATAATTCCATATATACATTATATTAATTAATCTAGTTATAATCATACGGACATGTAAAAGAAATTATTTGTCATTTAAAAATTGTAAATTAAAAAAAATGGCTGCAAGTGAGTTTTCATGTTGCCAATTTGCAATTCAAATTTTGCCAAGATGTGAAGTGAAAAGGATGAGAATTAATTATCAAGTGGTCCTCAAAGGCAAGATGGATTCCATGGCTACTGCTTTAGAGAGGGAGACTCCGTAAGAAGTTAAAAACTAGCGTTGTTCCATCACATCCTGCAATCTCAGTTATAAAACAAGTTCCATCATATTCCTTATATATAAAATCTCATTTGTAAAAAAATACTATAATAATGCATGAAATAATTAATTATTATATTGCAAAAGTATATTTTTTATGATTTTAAAGCTTATATATAAAATCATTACCGCGATATTTAGGGTAGGACAACGCGCCATAAATTTGCATACCGTTTGCCGCAGCAAGTGGTACACTAGAGCATCGGCATTTTAGCCAAAAGGTTGAAATAAGTAACGAGAGGAATCGAGTGATATAGGTAGAACCAGATGCGTACATCTGAGCCAAGCCAGACCAGAATCATCATAACTTTGGTAAGATGAGTTGAAAGTTGAAGCAGAGAGGACGGACGGGAAATCTTGCAAACAAAAGCCAATAGAGAAGGAGACTGGGTCCGCTACTCAATAAAACAATTACCCTTTCTCCCAACCCTTTGATTGTGGAATCAAACACGAGAATAGACAGCGAAAAGGAATCAAATCCTCCTTCTGTTGCATAATATCCTTCCTGCATAAAAAGGGCCAACTTCTTTTACTCTCAATCATTTAACTTTTGTTTTTTTCTTTCTTTAACTTCTAATATATAAATTGGGGTAAATTACATTACAAAATGAATCACTGATTATTCATATATTTTAAATTTATCTTTTTTCGTTAAAAATTTAACGGCAATTTAAATTGAATGTTCACTTGAAGACTAAGATATTATAAAATATGAACTCACAATCTAAAATGACTATCGTACTCAATCAACATGTTGATGTTTAGCTCATAATATCGTTAATTTTTAACAGAAAAAAATGAGTTTGGAATATAATAAATAGCCGATTACCATTTTATAACTTTTAATAGTTGAGAGACTCGACAAAACAATATCATATAATCAAGAGACCATTAATGTATTTTAATTTATTAAAATGTTTATATCATTTGAATGTTATATGTCATAGTAAAATTAGTGTCCTTTTTTTTAACATAAAAATTTTCGTTTTTCTATGGGCATTCTTAGGAATTTTTAGGGTGCGTTTGGTTCACGGAATGTAAGATTACCAGTGGGAATAAAAGATTACCAGGGAATAGGATTAATGGGAATGTTGTATTTTGTGTTTGGTTGGTTTAGTAGAATATAAGATTACCGTGTTTGGTTAAAGGAATAAAAGATTATTGGAATGTATATTTGACCAAATTGTCCTTATTATATATTTGTATAATATTACAAATTGTAAAATATTTATATATTTTTTAAAAAAAATTAAATTCATAATATTTATATAATTTTTTTTACAAAATTAAAAATATAAAAAAAGTTTAATGAAAGGGTAAAAAAAATGTAACCCCTGAACTTCATATAAAATTTTAATTATAGACTTTTTTTTTTGTAAATCTAAAATAATTTAAGGATAAATTTGTAATTTAACCTTCGTAGAATTTTTATTATTCAATGACAAAAGAATGATATTTTTGGAAAAAAATAAAAATTTAAGGGCATTTTAGTCCAAAACGTCGGTAATGTTACAATACCTAAGGGAATGGAGGTAATGACATTCCCGATAATATACCCCAAAAAATCTACTATTGGTAATAAAATATTACCGAGAATGAGATTCCCGGCCAACTAAACATGAGAATGTGGGATTCTCATCCCATGAGAATGTGAGATTCCCATCTCATGAGAATCCCACAATCCTTAAACCAAACACCCCTTAAGGGATGGTAGCTAGGGTTCAGTTGGACAATGGTGCATGGATTTTCGTTTTTCCACGTGTAAATTTTCTTATGCCGGAGGCAAAGGTTGGCTGGGGACTTGTATATCCTTAAATATTGAAATTTTAATTTTAGCATCTTTAATCTTTAAAATTTCAGTTGAAATAATAATAAAATTATGTTTTGGTTTTTAAAATGATAACACTTTATTCTTAAATGTTTTATAATTTAATTCTAATCCCAAATAAAATTTATTAGGCTTCAAAACCAACTTTAAAATTAATTATCGGAATGACCTAAAACCTAATTTCTTTTATTTTTCTTATTATTTTTCCGTAAACCCCACTTTATATTCATTTAGTTATTAAATTATTTTTCGTTTGTACTATAACTATACTCCTTAAAACATTGTTTTTTGATTCATTTCTAGTCACAGAACCCAAAACCCGAAATTCTGAATCGAGTAGTGACCATTTTCCTAACAAAGAAAAAACAAAATTACTATGTACTTCTTTTTAATATAAATGGATAATTTTATTAAAATAAAAAATATCTAAATTATAATTAAAATTTATGGTCATAACCGTATACTAAACATATAATAATTACATTTTCTTATGATCATTAATAAAAAGAAATTACTCATTTAAAATCGCAAAAATACTACAAAAGGAAAAAGTTAAAAATCTAATTAAATAAACTTAAACAAAATATGAATATGAATAGATCTGACAGTATAAGTAAAAAAATCACAAAATGAGATAAAACTATTGAAAGACAATTGACAACTACAAATCAGAGTCGAGCGACGTGAAAAACTATTCACGAACACAAATCGCATATCTAAATCTAATTTGAGAGTCTAAAGTAAAAAAAATTAACATGATAACAAATAAACGACATCTTGATCAGTCGTGATTATGTCAAATTTAACTCTAAAAATAATAAATAAAAATAACGGTCAAATACTCAAAAATATACCATAAAAACAAAAAAAAACACATGTCATAAAAATAAAATTATCAAAATTTTTAAAAAATATAATAAAAAATAAAAAAATAATTAATACATACAATTGACGACCAATAATTAAATTAGTGCGGCGATTACAAAGATTGGACAAAAAAAATAACACCGGCAAAAAGAAAAAGAGAAAACAATGACAAAGTAACAAAAATACTACTTAAAATATATAACAATTAAAATAATCATAACCTCACAGAGAGTGAGAAAACACAGTCGCTGCTTGGATTTTTTGTTTTTAGATTTGACAGTGAGATCTAGTTCGTTTATCAAGCGAGTCGAATAGTTAAATAGTATTTGATTCGTGATCTTTAAAAATATTTATTGTTCGACTCGACTCATTTTTCGTTAAGCTTATTAAAATTTTGTTCTACTCGTGCTCGTTAAAAAAAATTGTTGTTCGACTTGTTGCTCGTTAAACTCGATGCTCGTTAAGTTCACCAAAATTTTCACATTGTTTTCTTAATTATAAGTAAAATCTACCAATACCATACAAAACTTAATATAAACATAAATTAATAGATTTAACCAAAAATATTATTAAAAAAAATGTATGAAACAATTTCAAAGTCTAAACACCAAAGAAACAATTTCAAAGTCTAAACACCAAAATAACAATCCACACATATATTAAAATAATAAATATGATTTGATTTTTTAGTATAGTAAAATACTGACTAATAATTTAGTATTTTTTTGTTGTTTATCAGAAATTAATATATTGACAATTTATCTTATTTTTTATTATCTATAAGTAAATTAGTATTTTTTGAATGAAATAATTTTTAAGATAACTACTAAAAAATATATAAAAAAAATTAACGAGCTGCTCGCGAACTTATCGAGTCGAGTTAGACTTTGTTATAATCAACTCGTTAAAATCTCAAGTCGAGTTTTTATCTAATTTTGACCTTGTCGAATTTGAGAAGCTCAACTCATTAAGCACCCTTAGTGACATCTGGTGTTAGTATATTTTTATATGTATATTATAAATTTATTATATCTATACAATAGATTTTAAAGAATTTTAAACTGTATATGATAATTTGATTTCATCATTAAATTTTCTAATAATTTAGTTTTGATAAAATACTTATTGTATATTATTAAAAGTAATTATAAATAAAGTTATAATATATTTTAACTGGAATAATGTTAATTTTTGAAATTTATGAAACTATTACAGAAAGGAACAAAAGAAAGCGTAGATTCCAGCCTAGGGAAGCTCCAATTAAAAGTTGGCATGTAGTGTTGATGAGATCTAAAAACATGGTTTATGGCTATAATTAAAGGGTTTGGAGTAGCTTAGCATCTCTTTATTTTTAGTAGGTTCCCCCCCCCCCCCCCCCCACATACACCACTTGATTATCGAAAGGGCATGGGGTGCTTATTTCAAGGGGCTTTGTTTTCTTCTTTTAGTAAAGCAGATTCCACCACCCTCTCTTATTTCTCTATAAAGATAAGCTTCATGAACCACTTTTCTTCTACCAATTGGAGTTTTAGTGGAAAGGTTGGTTCACCGTCTATTCTCCCCCTCCAATTTCACCAGTTCATCCATCATCATTAGAAAGGAACAAGCGCATCAATGGTGGTAGGTTTCTTGCCCTATATCAATT